AGTAGAGACTGGCAAAAGCCACGTCTGTACTGTATGGAAATGACTGGTGGCACAGAGAAGATAAGTCACCGATTCAGCTCAGCACATGCACAGACTCGTCCACAGGTAATCACGACATGGGCTGCTCTGTTCTGTTTAAGGCCTACAAATGCTGCAAACCTGCATTCCCACACCTGCCTGAGCTACACGCTGTTCATTTCTGCACTCTGAGTAGGAGAGAAAAGCCGAGAGATGGAGATAGAGGGATCCACCGCGAGAGGAAGAGACACAGAGGAGGTGGGAGAGATGACATGAGGGAAATGGCTCGAACAAAGAAAGGGAGAGAAGCCTGCATACCAGAGAGGCAGACAACACTAATCTCCACTACACACACATACTCGGTGAGGGAGAAAACAAGCACAGTGATCTGATGTTCTTTGCTGGGAGGAGCGCATGCCACTACCTGCACCTGTATGCTAACTGACTCTACATATCAGGGTGTATAATGAGATACAACTGTGGTAGTCTGTGGTTCCTGCTGCCTTTGTTTACTACAGTATATGATGCTCACATATGTTCATAACTGAAAAGTTGCATGAAACACTGCCTGTAATGACTCCTGTGTGTTTATACTGCAAACAGCCTTTGAGGCACAAAGCAAGCTGTCCAATACAATGACTTATCACTGATGACTTTATCCCTGTGTTGCTCATAAGGAATGACATCCCAAGGCTTTGACCTTGAATGAGATGTCCTAACAAATATACAGAGAAAGAAAAAGTTGCATCAAAACAGGAGCAATTTCTTTCTCCCTGTGAGTGGGCCTCAGGAGGAGGAAAAGAGAGAGTGAGTGGCCAACAGAGGTCTCACTCTCTAGGAGCAGATGAATACCAGAGGAGCTGAAAGGTATGTACATACTGGAATGTGCTTCTCAGCCACACCTGTGGGGAACACACCTGCCAAGCCTGGCCCCTCTCATCTCACTGGATGATCTTCCCATGACTGACAACTAGAGGAATAATTTGTTTCCAGTCCACAGCAGCCAAAGGGCAAGTATGGTGAGTTCAGAAGACGAACCAATGGCAGCTGAGAAATCCTTCCAAGACAGGCGGGGCTGCAGTGAAATAAAACTCATCAATGGGGTGTGTCAAATGTTTTGCCAGCAGTCACACGGTGCAAGGGATACTGCTACAAGAACTCACTTTGGCTGGTTATAACTTAACTAGTTACTCGCTGCATCAGGATCCGTGTGGCTTTCAGTTGGCAGAGATGGTCAAAAAAGACAAAGACAGACTTTTTTTCATGACAGATTCAAATCTGCTGTGGCTTGACTGATGGATATGAAACAAAAGATCTCTTTCAGGGCCAGGGCACAGAAGAAGAGGATGGCAGCTCCATGCAGGACTTGACTGGAGACTTTTACACATTCTCAGGACTTGTTTTTGTCTAAAACAATAGGTTCATCATAGTATGGTGGAGATTAAACAGATGCTGGTGTGGTACTGTGGTTGCTCACATCTCCTTATCACTTTTCCAGCCCAGCTATGTGTTCTGTATCTGTTGGACGGAGAACTGATAAGGGCATGTGCATGACATTGCCTACAGATACTGGGGAGAAGTGAGCTAAACAGCCTTAGGGATATTAATTAATGTATATTTGGGGATCATGTTGAAGGCTGTTATTAGTTTGGTACTCAAAGTTGTTTGCTTTTAAGGTATAAACAGATTTTTAGAAGGGTGATAAGAACTGTAATATACTGCTCTATAAAGATGTGAATGTTAAGAAAATAAGAGCTTTATAGATTTTAAAATGTGAACTCTTTTAGTAGTGAATAGAAACTTAAGAGTTACACAGCGGGAATTCATAACTATCCAAGCTAACAGTTAGTTTGAGTTGTAATCTGTCTCATCTGTATATAATTCAATGACCTCAAGCCTTTTCGATGATTTTGTGCTTGATACATTAGGTTGTACTATATGTCCATGGACTGAAAATCGGAAAGGTTTGTCTTTGCATTTCTGTCGTGCAAAATGAGACATTGGAATAATAACTGAAACATAAGTTCCCATCATGCAGCCGGTTATAAGTCAGATTTCTGAGAAATATAATGGAGAGCAACAATGCGACTTCAGGCAGGTGACCCCCTGACATACTGCAGTATGGCTGACTTAATCCGGTGTTCTGAGGATTATGCACCTGGTGAACTAGGACACAAAAGTTAGGTAAGTAATTCTAATATGCCAACATGTTTTATGACATGTTTTATACACCCACAGACATGCAGCCTTGGTATTTCTAGTTACTGTTCAGTAAGTGGATACTGAATAGGTACAAACTTATTGCAGTAAACAAGAACACACGCTGGATAAACATCAGACAGACATAAAGACAACAGTCAGAAGGAAAAAGAAATAATTAATGAGAAGTGATATGAAAAACATAAAATAACATCCATGCAAAGTTGCTGATTCATAAGGAAAAACTTTGTGACCTGAGCTATTTCAGCTAATTGCCTTTTGTTTCATTTCCCTCTGGCTTCATTTAAAAGAGGTTTGGGAAACCCTTCGTAAATAGCCACATTTCTAATAAGGAACTCTGGCAGATGGCCATCCTTTGCTTGCTTTCCCATATCTTAAGATGTATAAATTGTTCTCAAATACAAGATGGGGTGGCAGTCACCCTTTCATCATCTTAAAATATGCTGATAACCTGGTCACAAAAGCCTGGGTCCTCTGTTTGTGATGTGACTCTAACCCTAAGTGCCAGTCATTTCCACATATATACCACATATATGAACATTTTTGTTACAGCAGTTTTTATTTAATCACTTTTAATGCTTATTGCCGTAAGTATCAGAATGCTCATACCTCCCTGTTGTACATTTCTCAAACATACTGTAACAAAACACAATAATTATGTCATGATACAACAAAGCACATCTACTGTGTAAAAAAACACACACATACACAGGAGGTTGCCCAGTAACATGACAAATCTTCCGGGCTACTGGGTGTTTCCTAAACTGCTCTCTGGCCCCGAGGCATCCACTCCCTCTCTACACCTGGTGGAGGATCCTCTCTTCTTCTAATGTGCAACAAGGTTATATAAGATTAAATACAGGCACTAAGCCATTACACATTTCAGCACTACTTCAACAGTCTTCCTCTTCAAACTGGACACAAATACATTCTCGTCCTATTTTCTTTGGAATTTTTAGGAAAATTAAGTATTGCTGTCGTCATGATTTTGTTTCTGCAGAAACTGTACAATCATCTGTCTGTATTGTTGGCAATTGCTGTTAAATGCCATGAATAAAAGCATCAAACTGAAGTCTTTTAAATTTGCACCACAAATCATGTGTTTTCATTCCTTGTGGGGACTTTACATTGACTTACATTCATTTCCTGTAGACTTATCCTAACCTTAACCATACCCACTACTTGCCTAACACCTAACCCTAACCCAACACTTAACCTAACCTCATCCTAACACCTCAACCATGTTGCCACCCTAAAATTCAGTGATTTCCTGGTGGGGACCAGAAGCTAGTCCCCACTGGCCGGGTCCCCACAGTGAGAGTGTGTTAATAGGTTCCGTTCCTCATGATGTAAGTAATACAAAGGCACATGCACACACATTAAAAGTCTGTATCCTTTGCATGTTTTACTGCTAGGAATACAGTAGCATACCAGGGATAAACAATTAGCACCAATTATAAAGTATGCTGAATATACATAAGATAAAGTTAAAACAATAGAGCTCATTAATATTCAACTGACAGGAGAAGAAGATTTGAGCAGGTGGAAAAATCTTAAGACAATGGCCTTATGCACATTCAATAACAGAATGAAACAGTGTGCTTGCATATAAACTGGGCCACTGACTCCAGCAGGGGGAATGGCTGATAAAAGCAGGACAGGCTGCTGTGTTTAAGCCAGTCCGACCATAGAAGCACTCAGGTCCCACAGCTTCTTAGCTGTGGTGTCATTCAGGGCCTGTGGTGCCGGCGTTTTGGGGGCACAGTCGCTGTACGGAGAATAAATAAAAGAGGGGGACTGTGCAATCAGATTAAATACAATTTGCAAAGTGTACTGAATTTCCAGATAACTAAACTATTAACATCAATCAGGTAATGAAATTTATCTTTACAGTCAAATGAGTTTTATTGCATGTGTACTTACCTGTAGTAGAGGCCGCTGACGTTCGCCAAGCTCTCGTCCACGGCGCAGTAGATAGTGGTCTGGGCTCCTTGCCAGGGGTTTTTGATCAGTAAGATTATTGGTATGACTAAGATCCTCTTCCAAAAGGGTAAAGTAGGGAACCAGTGGCGGCCTAACTCTGTGCGGATATGCCCAGGGTGAAGGCTGTACACTGTCACACCAGTGCCTAATAAGAGGGAAAGTCAAATCAAGTGTTAGTTACAATACTGGGACAATGTGGAATGGTTTTCCCCTTTAAGTTAATAATAACATGCATTAGGCTGAAAGATATGGGAAAATAATCTAATAATTTTTGGAGCAATATTGCGATTTAATATGTGAATTTTTTCTGCAAAGAAGCTATAAATGATAAAAAGAAGACCAAACCAACAGTGGATAGAATACAGTCATCATGTAAACTGCTCTTTCATGTAGGGTTGGCCTATCTGTGAAACGACATGAACTGACTGAATCGGATACATTAATTGGTAAAGATATATATGTGAACATGTTCACTTCAGAACAATAAAAAAAAATAACTCAACTGTAAGTGAAGTAGTTCAGTCTGTAACAAACAAATCACACAAACTTCAGTGCACACGGAATGTGGCTCTATCGGGATCCTGATATTTTGATAAGTCAAAAAGTTGGAAGCGTGTATATAAAAGCTTGCACTTTTTAATAAAATCTAACACAGCCATATGTACAGTGTGTGTACAGTGAAATGTTGGAAGCTGGGGTCTGAGGTACCAGAGATCTCAGAGAAGCAGGAGCTCAACACAACACACTCCTCCATTATTCCTGCACACCACCCTCTCCATAGAGAAACAATGACAGAAACTCCCCATTTTCAAGCACAGAAATAGCGTCTTGTACTTGGTGGATAGCTACCAGACAGTCATCATAGCTCTCTCTCTCTCCCTGTACATATCTGTACCTTTCAACAAGAGCCAGGGTCTGTCTGGGGTTTCTTCAGTTAAAGGGAGTTGTATCTCCCTGCTGTTGCCAAGTGCTGCTCAAGGGGGATTTGTTGGGTTTCTCCTCTTTAATAATAATAAAAATAATAATAGAAAGGTCTAGACCTTACTTTGTAAAGTGTCCTGAGATGACTTTTGTTGTGATTTAGCCCTATACAAACAAAACTGAATAAAACAATTTTTATACAGTAAATTAACTTTCTTTGTCCACTCTTACTCACATCGGAGGATGACTGTTCCGAATCCGTAGTATTTAAAAAATATTTTAACTGCAGCTACATTACAGTTTTGTGGTTTGAAAATCTCATTCTGTTAAATAGCAATAATGATTTGAAAACAATTAATCTTTCAGTCCTAATATGCGATATGTATCCACACACACACATTTATTTTTTTATTTTTACAACTCTGCATTAATGGGACATAGTGTGCACAGGATGATACCTTGCAGTCTTGCAGAAGAGCACACTGGCTAGTAGCTCTGTATTGGGCAGTAGTTTTTATTGAGACTGATGTCATCAAAGTGTATACGACCTGCAAGAAAGAATTTAATGTAGTCATAAAAGCACAAAATGCATTTTGAAATCCAGACACTTCCATGTAGGTTTAGTCATAACTGTCATACAAATCAGCCAAAGTGTAAGTAATGCGTAAAACATTAGATCTACACAGTTTGACTTTTGAACCAAACATGGGTTGACTGAAGTTGCTCTGATTGACCAAAATGACCTTTCTCATGTGCCAGGCTGGAGACAATGACAATGCGACTTGGAGCAGACTTCTTCAGCAGGTCAAGGAGACAGTTGGTGAGGAGAAAATGTCCCAGGTGGTTGACACCAAACTGCATTTCAAAGCCGTCCTCAGTCTTCCACTTAGAACACATCATGATACCTAAAAACACAAAACATTTACAAGCAATAAAATCAACAACAACAACAATAATAATAATAATAATCCACCATCTGTTAAAAAGTGAGGTCAATTTTTAGCCCAAGAAAGTTGTGTAAAAATAAGACAAAAAAATTATTTTACCTGTGTCCAAAACACATTTTGTCCACTAAGATTATGTGACAAATGTAAAATACCTGCATTGTTGATGAGGATGTCCAAACGCTGTTCGTTCACCTGAATGTCTCTGGCTAGGTCTCTGACAGACTGCAGTGAGGCCAGGTCAAGTTCCTTCATCACCACGTTGTCATTCCCACTCTTCTGCCGGATCTCATCAGCTGCAATGCGGGCTCTGGTCATGTCCCTGCAGGCTAGGTTCACTCTGGCCCCTAAATAAAATTTGAAATAAATGTCACTGTATTTAAGATGTAAGTAGTGCTGAAGTTGTAGTCATGGTAGCAGTCAATTCTGGCAACTCCAAAATGACTCTATAGATAAAGACAGTGTTACACAAAAATCAAGAAAAAGAACAACACACAGCACTTATACAAACAGGTGAGAAATTAAAGGAAAGACTTGAATAAATGAGTGGTCTCTTCCGGGACCACAGGACATGAGGGCTCGCTGAATGGTTTGATGAGTGTGAAAATGATGTGACTCATGCTGTGGTCTTCACAGTCACCAGATCTCAACCCAGTTGAACACCTTGGGAGATTTTGAACTGGCACGTTAGATAGCATCTCCACCAGCACCATTAAACACCAAATGAGGAAATATCTTTTGGAAGAACAGTGTTCATCCCTCCAGCAGAGTTCAGAGACTTGAAGAGTCAATGACAATGCGCAGTAAAACTGATCTGGTGGTACCTGGTGGCCCGACATCTGACTGAGACACTTTTCCTTTAATTTGTCACCTGTCTGTACGTAAAAGAATAAACAACTATGTAGGTCTCAGCTCGCTGGGCCATGTCCAGGGCCGTCTCCTTCCCAATGCCTGTGTTGGCTCCTGTTATAAGGACTGTTTTTCCATCCAGCCTCACCTTGCTCCGACACACTCCTCCAGCTATCCACCTACGCAAGGCCAAAAAGCCGGCCCCTGACAGAAGACCAATGCTAATTTAGTTAACAACATGTTAACTGGTGTTTCACCCAGCACCACTTGCAGTAGTTATGTGTTCGACCCTGACAAATGCCACAAGTCAAAAGGTGCTGGTCTAGTAACAAATCTGTTCTTTACATCAGTGGTGAAAGAAGTACTCAGGTTGTTTACTTAAGTAAAAGCAGCAATATCACAGTCTAAAAATACTGTTACAAGTAAAGGTCTTGCAATCAAAATGTTACTTACATAAAAGTACAAACGTATTAGCAGAAAATATACTTAAGGTACCATAAATAAAAGTAGCAATTATGCAAAATGGCACTGTTTACACTGCTGTACATCATATTATTCTATTACAATCATTGATGTATTACTGTTTACATCACATTTAATGGTGCAGCTGGTAAAGGTAGAGATCATTTTAACTATCTTATATGCTTATAATGTGAAATACTGCTGGGTAGCTTGTGAATTTTACACCACAGATCAATAAATCTTGTGATTATACTGTATTTTGTTTTATTAACCTCTTTCTAACAAGTAACTAGTAACTTAAGTTACCAAATCAATGTAGTGAGCACAAAGTACAATATCTTTCTCAGAAATGTTGTGACGTTGGAGTATGAAGTAGCAGAACATGAAAATACTCAAGTAGAGTATATGCCTAGAGTTCGGACCGAAAAAGGGAAATGGGCTTTTGGATTTGCCGCTCCTTCTTCGTGGAATAGTTTCCAAGCAGATTTTAAACTTCCTGAATTATGCTCAGTTAAAGCTTTTTATTCCCTTATGGCTCTTAGGCAACAGGAGTCTATTGGTCAGTGTAGGTGTTTTTAAATTGGTTGTATTGTTGATTATTGTATTTATGGTTTTGATTGTTTAAATGTTAAATGTTTTGTATTGAAACTTATGTATTGACGACATGTGTTGTTGACCTCTTGGCCAGGTCACCCTTGTAAAAGAGATCGTGATCTCAATGGGTTTTTACCTGGTTAAATAAAGAGAAGATAAAGTACAGATACGTCAAAACTGTACCTCTGCTTTACACTGCAGGTACAGTATTGATGGGATTTTCCCTTTTAAGGTGGATTTCCCTTCTCCACTCACCTTGGCAGTGAGTGAAGGTGTTCCAGAAATAGTTGTAAGTTATAGGTTTCCGTCTGTAAAATGGGTTGGTTCATATCACAGACTTTTCATGTACAGTATATGGTTCATACTTACTGTAAAAAAGTTAACTTCCTTTGCAATGATTGGAGAAAATGTGGCAACGTACAAAACACAGTATACACAATTTCTTATAACGAAGTAATCGATTTACCTGCGACAAATACTGCTATGAGGCCAGTGGCATGTCTCTCTGTAAAGTCCTTTATCGCCTTTGCATTTTACTGTTAATTATAGGACAACTTAAATCAGAATTATTTCCACAAACCTTAAATTAAAAAATGGTCAGCTTACACTGTCAATATGTTATACCGTAGTTTAAGAAACCCAAATCCTATCAAAAAATGGGCAAAAAGGAAGTTTTTCCGTTTTGCGTTTAGCAGTAGCAAATCCCTGAGCGGAAGTGATGTGTGTTACCGCGTCAGATTTTCAGAATAAAGCTATTACTAGTGATGTGACGTTCCGTATCGAGGCTTCGAAGCGTGTGCCGAGTAGGGGAGGGGGCGTTTCCGCAATGCGCGTATCGAGGCTTGCGTCATTTGGGGGAGGAGCTGAAAATGATGACGTCCGAAGCCAAGCTGCCCGGATATACCACGTGACTCATTCAGGAAGTGGTTTGGATTTTGCCACGAGTTTTGACAGCGCTATAAACCCCTCAGGCTCCATTCAAAATGTGGGTGTTTGATGAAGAGTTGCGGTCAGTGACAGTTTGGAGACAGTTTGGATAGAGTTAGAGATAGTTGTTTTGTTTAATTTTGTACAATAGCCTGCTTGTACTATACTTCCAGGTTTATGCTGCTTTATAACACCCCTCAACTTCATTTATTGTCCTTGGATTAATAAAGCTAGCTATCTATCTATCTGTCAACCTTATACATTATATAAATTTTCTAAAATGGTTTCCAAATAATTTAAGCCATCAATGTGCCAGACATAGTTTGAACAACAGCTGTGATAAACACGCCTTCGCAGTCAGTTTCTCAACCTCAGATCAACACCTTCACCATTCAATAAACAAAGAATTCTAACACTTTCTCTGTCAGTTACAATTCCGTGTAGCCAACATTTTTGGTGCATTCATTTATAACCATGACTGACCAGATGTTTCCAGTTGCTGTTCAATGGAAGCTGCAACATCAGCCACATTGGTTTTATTCTTTTGATGCCAGAGCTGCTTCCTGCTTCAAATCCTCTCAAGGGTGCGCTTGCCTAGTACAATCCCATGATAATCAAGTATTTCCTCTGTTGTAAAGCCACACTTAAAGTGATCCTCAATGTAGTGACGATATATGTCCTTGGGAAAATTCCTGAAAAGTTGCCTTGAGAGATGCCTTAAGTCAAAATGTTTACTTGGTGAGTCGAATTTTAAATGTGTTATCTCATAATTTTGACTTTGTAAGTCAAAACTGTTTTTGTACTGGCGGAAACGGGCTTCCATACACACCTTTGTGAACAGGGGGAAGATATTTTACTTTACTTTACCAAGAATAAACAAACCTGCACCGGAAGTTGTTTGTGCTGTTGCCACGTCGGAGGTACATCGCTGTTACCGTCGAGTCTGTGCGGCGGTTCCAGTCTTGGCGTTTTGTTTTCGCCATGTTGTGTGTGGTACTGAGCTGTTTGCTGTTTCAGGTGCTTGTGGTGTTTGGGGTGTTTGGGACTGAGCTCACGTTTGAGCTCCCTGATAACGATAAGCAGTGCTTCTATGAGGAACTGGAGAAAGACGTGAGGTTTGACATCGACTTCCAGGTGAATTACCCTGAAACGTCAATGCGAAGCTGACATCAAGTTATTCTTCAGCTTGTAATTTATTGTTTGAATGTGTTCTGTATTTTGTTCTTGGAAAAGAAGAACATGCATTCACTTAATTTCAAAATATGTTTTTAACGAGGTCACTAGTTAAATTTAGGAGTCGTGTACCAGTCTTCCCCGACTACTTTGTTGCATGACCAGTTTCAGTCCATATGTTACAATAAAACATGTCTGGCCATCTCTCATGTGTATGTGTTATGTGCATTTTGTGTTTTCTCTTGTTTTAGGTCATTTCAGGAGGCAACTATGATGTGGACTGCTTTGTCACTGATCCTCAGAACAATGTCTTGTATAACGAGAGGAAGAAGCAGTATGACAGCTTCTCTCACACCACAGCTATGAAGGGAGACTACAAGGTCTGCTTTAGCAATGAATTCTCAACCTTTACCCATAAAACGGTGTATATGGAGTTCCGCTATGGAGACGAGGTGCCTCTCATGCCAATAACAAGAAGCACAGCACTCACTCAGGTAGGTCTGAGGATACTGGTTTACAGTAGTTCAGCTCAGGTGTTGGGACTGTCTGCTGCAGTGGAAGGGCTCTGATGTCCAGGCTGTGGCTGTCACTTGGCTGCTCCCATGAGACGTTGGCTTAAATTGTTCAGATGACAACAAAATTGCCTATGTTGCCTTTATAAGAGGCTTTTCTGTTAGCCTGCTTCTCTGCAGAGCTTTCTGTTTAGTGTCATTTTTTTCATTTTGAAACACTTACAAATACATCCTGCTGGGTAGGCACAAGGAAAAGGTACAAAGTGACAAAAAGCAACCACATTGCATACAGTATTTCCACATTCAGTATACAAACCAGATTAAAGAGAGTAGCAAATGTTTTATTTGCTAATAATGCAGTGTTTAGTAAGTTAGGCTCACTAGCCAGCTGCTCAGGTGATAGCAAGTACAGCAATTGTTGTTAGTTTCAGAAGTGGGACCATTTGCATGAAGTCCAGTAGGTGGAGCCAGAATTGTTCTGACCATGTGCATGAAAAATGTTAAGAACTATAGCTGACTCTGCAAGTCTTAAATGTGTTCTCCTTACCCCACAATACCTAAAACAGCTGAACTTGTGAACACACAGGTTCTCTATAACAGCCCACATTTATTGTTCCAAAGCTGGGGATTATGTATTATATTTGCCCACTTCAAACCCCCAAGGCCTGCTGGGACAGATGCAGGAGCAGTTTAGACAGTTGAATTTAATGTTTACATATGTGTGAGTCACCATGCACTGTATGTTTTGCCTTGGACCATTTCTGTGCCTTTGATTCACTTCTGCTTATCTTTCTGCTTTCAGTTAGAGTCCTCTTGTGTCTCCATTCACGAGATCCTGAAGGTGGTGGCTGACTCGCAGACACGGTACAGGCTACGAGAGGCACACGACCGCACAAAAGCAGAGCACCTTCTCGAGCGAGTGACCTACTGGTCTTTTGGACAAACTGTCATGCTGTTTGTCATCGGCATCAGTCAAGTCATGCTGCTAAGGAGCTTCTTCACTGAGAAGAAAGGCTCTGTAGCAGCCACCACTTAGAATACGTAGTCTTAGAAATTCTTCACTGCAATTTAGAAGTGCATCTGAAAGTTAGCATACATGTCCTTTATTAAAGGGGTAGTTGAAGTTTTCCACTTCTGACCCAGTGTCTGACAAACCAGTGAATGCCTTTTTTATGTCTGTGTTGTTCTGTCCTTAACAAGCTGGATTGGGAGAAAAAAAAAACACCACTCACACTTGTGCTGCGATCCACATCTTTCAAACTTGCACAGATTATTTATTATATTTTTTATTGAAATACACTTATCTGTTAATGCCTTACGGTCGAACCGTCAGATATTGAGACCAAACAGGGTGTCTGTTGTTTGTTTCAGAATGTTAGTTTTATTAGTTTTGTAATGTGTGTTATTACCTTAATTTATCTGTGTCTCCCATAAAGTGCCTTAATGTCTTTTGTTTCCAAATATTTCCTACCAAGTTTACTGTTATATCCTTTTCTGTTGTTACTGGTTGACTGGATTGTCAGATTTTGTTCCTATTTTACATTAATGGCTATTTCAAAATGAAAATGATTACAGTTTTTTTTTCACAAATAAAGTGATGTTTTCAGTTCTCTTTATTTATATGTGGCTATCTGTAAAACCTGTCAACAGATTTAAATAAAACTGGTAGATAGTCATTGACTTTGGTAATGCTAATCCAAAATTGTAGAATTTTCGTGTTACATTTTTAGTATATTAAGTGTATTGTGATACCTATTCAGATCCAACTTCACAAAAAATTATTTTAGATGTTATTTATTTGAAAACGTTTTATTATTAAAATAAGAGTTAGGATATTGTGCAGCCTTGGTGTAGGCCTCTAACAGATAATGTTTAAACATTTTTCAGGAGATAACAGATTGTTGTATCTAGATATGAACGTATTTACTCCTCCAATGTATTCACATTCATAATAGAAAACTATGTGTACGCAGTGTAGAATGTCTGTAGAGCCTGCTGATGTGTGAGGCACAGGAAAAACTAAAATAAGTGTTGAAGCGAACTTGAACTTACTAGTTATAGATTTATACGAGTGGATACCGCTGAAGTATTGACTTACTTAATTAAACACGTAGGCTGTTCACGAGCACGCTTCACTCCGATTGGCCCGGAGTTAGTTTTGCCAGCCAATCAGAGTGCTCGTTAGAAGCGGGCGTGTAAAGACTTCATTAGCGTGTGCGTGGCGGCGTCACCCGCGTGTTCTACTGTCATTTCGTTCATTCATAAGGAAAAAGGGGCCAGTTTCGGTGACTGTCATAGTAGCTGCTCGTAAACATGACGGGTTATTTAAAGGCTCTGACGATAGTGTCGAGAACCGGCTCATACGTGGCGTTGCCCCGGGTTCATACTGCGCTGTCTCAGAACCCCGCAGTGCTCTTACCGGTCGCCGTGTGCCACAGACCGCAACAGAGGAGATGTAAGTCAGTCGTCGACTAAAACCCCAGTGATATGAGTTGCTTATGACGTGATTTTTTTTTTTTTAGCGAGGTTCTCAACATTAACATAATCACGTTGTTGTGTAGTGTACAGTGTGGAATGAGTGAATGAGATGGTACCATATGGCTGGTCATTCATGTGGGACAGGGGACACCGGCAGGTTGTAGAGCAGTAAACTACTAATGTATCCAAACACAGCAGAACAAAAAAACAATATAAAACAAAAAAGTGTAAGAAAAAAAGTGAATTTACAAAAATGTGTAGAATGGAGTAAGTTTGATGCCTAAACCTGACAGAGGAAAGCATTTTGATGTGTAAGTTATGAGCCATGTTCAGTTTCTTTGATCCAGCCTAGCAGATATGAATAGTCTGTTGTATGTGGTTGAAACACAAAGTCATCTTTTGAACAGTAGCTAGTGCCAGCCTGTCTCAGCATGAGAGTCCACATGTTGTCAGGAATTTAAAAAGGGCTTGACAGGTAATAACAGCTATCAAAGCCATCATATAATTCTGAAGTCTGAAAGTTCGCAGCTTCATTGTCTCAATAAAGTGAAAGGGTTATAAAACAAACTGGAGTAATGTGGGTCATCAGTGTGTTCTTTGATCAATGTGATAAGAGGAGGCGAGTGCACATGGTGCCACACATCTGCTGGAATGAAATCAAGAAGTGCAGACAAGGTTGTGAATCCAGTCTTCAGAATTTGGGGAATCTCAGTTGTTGTCAGCTAATCAGCCCAACAAATGTTCCCGAGCAGTTCTGACTGTGCAAACTGAAATTATGTTAGGGCTTTGTCCGTGTCAGTTTCAGTATCTTCATCCAGCTGTAGCTGTAGATGCTGATAAAGTGTAAATGTTAATGCAAGTGTAAATTTTTCAGATGGCACACAGCGTATCAAGGTGGACCAGCCGGTGGTGGAGATGGACGGAGATGAGATGACACGCATCATATGGGAGTTTATCAAAGAAAAGGTAGATCATTCAGACCAACTGGACTGTCTACTTTAATGACTTGCATCCTGTAAGTTATGAGCCATGTTCAGTTTCTTTGATCCAGATTCAAAATTGGTTACAGCTGAAACAGTTTTTCACTGCATTGACTGACCAAAAACTACTCAGCACCAATTATGATAATCAGTTAAAGCTGTATTAACTAACTTCTCCCTGTAATTTTTGATCATTAAGGACGAAGTGAGAGCTAAAAAAAAGTCAAGCAGAATCTCATCCTTCTCTTTCTGCTCCTCTTTGCCCCTCCTGCCCTGTAGCAGTCGGGTAGCGCAGCAGTAATAACAGTTTGACATCTTGTGCCTGTACAGCTCATCCTGCCCAACGTGGATGTTGAGCTGAAGTACTTTGACCTGGGTTTGCCCTGCCGAGACCAGACCAATGACCAGGTTACCATTGACTCTGCTCTGGCAACAAAGAAATGCAATGTGGCTGTCAAGTGTGCCACCATCACCCCCGATGAGGCCAGAGTTGAGGGTAAGTGTGACTCATGTTTAATTATATGCCAACCATGCTGCAAACAAGACAGTTTCTAGCCTTTTAAAATGTTTTATTTTCTTCAGAGTTTAAGCTAAAGAAGATGTGGAAGAGTCCTAATGGAACCATCAGGAATATCTTGGGTGGCACAGTTTTCCGTGAGCCAATCCTTTGTAAAAACATTCCTCGTCTTGTTCCTGGTTGGACACTACCCATAACAATCGGCAGACACGCTTTTGGCGATCAGGTAAAAAAATAAATAAATAAATAGATTCAAATGTGTGTTTGGTCCTTCCAGAGATGGAAGAACAACAATCTCACATACTAGGTTTGGTGTTAAATCTCACAGTACAGGGCCACAGACTTTGTTGTTGACCAGCCTGGCAAGTTCAAGATTGTGTTTTCCCCAGCGGATGGAAGCAAGCTGAAGGAGTGGGAGGTGTTTGACTTTCCCGCAGGAGGCTGTGGGATGGGAATGTACAACACTGATGAGGTGACAATGGGTTTGCTTGTTCATTTATAAACACGATCTGATATAAAAACATCATTGTAATAATTATAGACAAAGATAATTTGTTAAAATACTGTACATGGTTTGGGAGTGTGTTCTCTAATTTTGATGTAATACACTTTTAATTGGAATGTTTTTAATGCCCCTTTGTTTTCTTTGCACAGTCCATCAGTGGATTTGCTCACAGCTGTTTCCAGTATGCCATCCAGAAGAGGTGGCCTTTGTACATGAGCACTAAGAACACCATCCTCAAGGCCTATGACGGGCGCTTCAAAGACATCTTCCAAGACATTTATGAGAAGTAAGTCGCTGAAAAACACAACCATTTAGACCAGATGCACTTGATTACTTTGTCACATTGCCCAAGGAAAACTCTTTCCAGCGGCCATCGTTTTGTGTGGCAAAACCAGACGGCGCATTGGCTGAAAAACGTAGAAAAAAAAATCAACTGGACTAAGTTTTTAGGTCGAAGACATTTCACCTCTCATCCAAGAGGCTTCATCAGTTCGACAGTTGCATTGTTTCTTGTTAGAGTACTATATATTAAGCCATTTAATAAACCCTAGACCACTGAAGTTAAGTCCCTTGTTATGCATTATTATGTCCCATCAGAAAGTACAAGAATGAGTTTGACAAGTTGAAGATCTGGTATGAACACCGTCTCATTGATGACATGGTGGCCCAGGTTCTGAAGTCTGCCGGAGGATTTGTTTGGGCCTGTAAGAATTATGACGGAGATGTGCAGTCAGACATTCTGGCCCAGGGTAAGCACACTTTTCATCAAACATGCTGTTTTGCTAGCTGAGTGCGAGCAGCTCAGTATCAGGGACACAGTGTTAGTTTATCTACATATGATCAGTATCTCACGTTCTGTGTGGTGATGGAACAGCCCTTTAATGGCATGGGGTGTGTATTACTTCAGGATTTGGGTCTCTGGGTCTCATGACATCAGTACTGGTGTGTCCTGACGGTAAGACTATTGAGGCTGAGGCTGCCCATGGCACTGTCACCAGGCACTACCGTGAACACCAGAGGGTAAGGGCCACCAGGTCACACTGTGAACACACCGTGGGGACCGAAACCTTTTTACACACACACACACACACACACAGTGTGGGGACTTGGCCTATAGGTCCTATTAAGACAGTGAATTATCAGACGTTAACAGTAACTGTTCTTACATTGTAGGGAAGACCAACCAGTACCAACCCCATTGCTAGCATCTTTGCTTGGACCAGGGGACTGGAGCACAGAGGCAAACTGGATGGAAATCCTGATTTGATAAAGTATGTTGTTTTATTACTCAGTGATGTATGTTTATGTAATTATACATCAGAATGTTTCACTCTGCATCACTATTTCTTCAGGTTCTCCCAGACGTTAGAACAAGTTTGTGTGAAGACTGTGGAAAGCGGTGTGTTGACCAAGGACCTCGCAGGCTGCATCCACGGTTTGGCCAAGTGAGTTTAAATATACAGAGTCCTCTCTCATGCCAATTGCTGGTTTTGTGTGTGGTTGGGTTAGGGAAAACACATTTTTACATAAAGGACAGATGTTAGAATTTACTACAAATGTAACCCCCTGCTGTGATCTTGCAGCTGCAAGCTGAACGAGCATTACATCAACACAGTGGACTTCCTGGATGCTATCCAGATCAACCTGAACAAAGCTCTGGGCAAATGAACAGTAAACTTTCATGTCATTGTATAGAGACAAACCCTGTCTGTTGACTTTTAGCTCCTTTTACCCTGCATTTGTACAAACCTTTGTATCTAATAGTGAAGAGACCAAGTTTGCCATCTGTTGTGCCTCTTTTTGTATTCGTACGATTCACTTATGCATTACTGTGCTTGTTTCTCTGCCTTTCCTAATACCAAAAGTCAATTGTTTTGCACAAATTGATTTTACTTTATAAATGAAAATTAGTGTTAATAATTCATTATGATCATTTTAAAGACATCTCTTTCACATTAAAAACAGTATGTACACATGAACAATAACGCCATGTTTTGCACAACTCTGAATATAAAAAAGAAACTATGATGGATAATCACAACAAGCAGCGTGTGTTGAGTTGCATTTCTCCACCTTATTTGAATAAGGATGTAGAATACACACTTATCAGCAGACTTTACAGAATAATCTTGGGTGAAAGATGAAGGGGTCTTCATTTAGGGGGCGGCTGTGGCTCAGGAGGTAGAGCAGGTCGTCTAAACGGAAGATTAGCAGTTCAATTACTGGCTTGTCTGGTCCACATGTTGAAGTGTCCTTGAGCAAGTCATTGAACCCCCAGTTCCTCCCGATGACACCGGTGTAGGGGTGTGAATGGCCAGATAGTGTGAAAGCGCTTTGAGTGTGCTGCGATGCATAGAAAAGTGCTATACAAGTGTAAGACCGTTTACCATTAATGTACACAAAGAAGCTCTGGCAAGAAGGACAATATATTTACATGTTTGAGATTGCAGAACAGCACTAGGAAATACTGGTCTTATCAGCGTTGTCTGGCGGAGCTTTGGGATTTATTCAATGAGACATTGGTTCAGGAATGTGAAAGCTTGTAGGAGTTTCCTTACAAGGGCTCTAGCCAAATCCAGATCATTAGCAATAAGCTGCCCACATAACCCTCCATTTTGCATTTAACTCCATGTGTTTTCATATGAGCCACTGTCCTGCAGTGCAGTAGGGGTCATATGCCCCCTCCAGTGCCTGACTGAGTAGTGTAGTGCATGAGGCCACACATGACAGCAAGGCTTTCTGTAGTGGAGGCAACTACACTGTCAGCAGCAGAGGTCAACATGATCACAGTCAGCTATACCAACAATCTACCGCTCTAAAAGATGCACTAGCTGGTTTTGATTTTACACTACAGAATATGCTACACTGACCTGAGACCAGGTCACTAACAGGTTATGGAAAATGAACAAAGTTCCTCTATGAACATTCTGCAGGAAATTGTAATTGTTAAAGGACTTCCCACTTAAAATGATCTGCAGCCAAAGAAGAGTCGTATCTCTGAAATTGATCACATCCTGGGAAATGATTTCCGAATGGAAGTGTAATCCCCGCACAGTGCAAAGTATCAATGAAGCAGCGAAGGACCAAAAGTCATAAATCAGTTCTCACAACTGGAAACATCCTCCGGCCAGACACCAACCTTCTACCAGCTGACTGCACAAGATCAATTAAAACATGCTGTAGGAAGAAAGATTAATAAAAGAAACACCCCATCCAGCTGACTTTATTTAAATGTGCAAAAAGAGCAGTGGTCAGACCATTTATTTGACTTATTTACTGCTCTGTGTGCACACTGCTTGAGAAGAAAATCTTTTTTCAAGTACAGGTTAGGCCCATGGAAAAAGTAGCCCTGTGTACTCGAGAGCGCGGCACTGGTATTGCAGGTGGGCTACTTTTCCATAGCCTATCCTGTATAACAAAAGGCTCTCTGCCCTTTGGTCTTTAAGAAATGTCCCAAGAGTTTTTGTTTGATGTTTGCACTTGCCCAATAACCTGTACTGTTAACTGTTTTTACTTTATGTCTGTACATTTAATCGCTTTTGTGTCCTCAAGCACTGAATGTTAGCATGATCGACAAAGTTGACCAAAGGGCCTACAGCCATGCTACTAGCTCTGAGAGGCCATACAAATGCAATGTGGTAGCCTACTTTGAGCTTTGGTACGATGGGTAAATGAGGAGGATTCGTCCTATGGGAATATGAATATCTGCACCAGTTTCATGGCAATCCACTCAACAGCTCAGCCTGAGCCAACACAGTGACACTGCAATCCTCAGTCACAACAACCCCTTGACATAATGGCAGATTAAAACGCCAGTCTCCATCATTTAAACTAGATGACCTTTATTAAATAATTCATGGTCAATCTCCATGAGGCCTCAGTTTGATATTCCTCATCTGAAAAAACAGCTAGTAGACCATTCCTCTAGTTTAGTGTGCATATCGATGCTGACCTGCATGGCAGGACAGAGGGAGCCCACGGTCTTCCCCAAAACAGAATTACAGATAGCAGAACTGGTTTCAGTCTACTTTAGGCTCAAAATGTAATCAGGATCTCCACATTATGTTTTAATCTACAGATTCAATTTAATATCCATTTTCAGTGTCGATCCCCTTCAGGGGAAACATATTTCTGAATTAACTGAACTGAAAGTAAAGTGAAAACCAGTTCTGGACATAGAAGTGTTGAAACGACAAACAACAAAAACCCCAAACTAATGATTCTCCATACAAACTGCTCATTCTCCATTTCATATTTGAACCAACAACCATATGACAGAAACTTCAGCTTGCAAAGAACCTACTGAGAAAGCATATCTGTTCCCCCGGCTCGTCACCTTGAGGCAAATGACAGTCTCAGTGAAAAAGTGCTTTGTATTGTTCACATGGGAATTCAAATACTAGAGCAGTATATTTCACTACACAGAGAGATTATTAATGTAAAGCTAAACCATGTGAAACAAACAAGTGGGTAAACAAACAGCATGTTGCAGAATTATTTATACAGTGAGAGGGCTTTACAAGCCGGCCACATTATTTTCTGGTATTGGCCAACATGGGACATGGAACAGTAGCAACTTTGGTACTAAGTGCCCTGGTAAGACAAAGGCTACAAAGTCCTGTGCAAAAAGCACAAATGCACTGACAGACTCATCTGTTTAAATGTTAAACTGAGGGCTGGGCAGGAACGGGAAGGACAATTAGAAACGGTTTAGTGAGAGCATTCAAACCCAAGAATATGTTGTGACTATGTATCAAAAACTTCGATATACACTGAGTAAGTAGCAGACAAGGTGGAAGCTTAGTTGCAAATGTATCTACTGTGTGTGTATAAGGTCATACATTGATAGTGAATGACAAAAATGGCAAAAGAGTAAACAAATTTCTATCACATCAAATGTAACTGATGGCTCTGCAACGTTTTCTTTTTTCTTTTCAAATAAGTGATACATACACACAACATACAGATTTGACTGTCCACCAGAAAGAGTCTGTGTCGTGTTAGCATCGTAATCCCAAAAGGAGCTCCCAGCCATGCCAACAGTTTCAGTGTCTCTTCTCTAAGCCACAGAGCTGAAACGTCTCCTCTGAAGTGCATTCCTGGCCTCCCATCAGAGTCCTTCAGTTCTGGCTCTTTAGCAAGGAGGCCAAACCTAAAAGAAAACTCTTTCTCCCAGAGTCTCCCAAAGCCATGACAACTCTGTCAATCACTTCTGATTTCAAAATAAAAAATAAAAAAAAAACACGTCATCTGGCCGATCACCACTCAAGGTGTAGTGTAGCTGCTCGTATCCTTCCCAAAATTGTAATATTCCTCCATGTCCTCCATGTTTGCTGTAGTGAGTTTAGTTAGGTTTTGGGAGCCACCATTGTCCATATTGTCTGGTGATGTAAAGGTGAAGTTCTGTCCTTCATACTCCCCCTGGCTCTCTATTTCTGGAAGAACCTCTGAAAAATACAGAAAAGCATTTTTTTTTTCCATTTAAAAAAAAAGCTACTTTCATCCTTACACAAGTATGATCATCACATTGAAGCTATTCCTGGGCCAACATTGCCCAAAATTTAGATTTATTCTGATACCAAGTATGGTAATGCCAGGCCAGGATCACCTGGGGAGTAATATGCCATGATTGATGAGGTAAAGCCGTCATTAACGGGGTATTTCTGAACACATTCACATGATCACAAATGACTTCCCTTGCATTAATAATTTTTACTACTGTCCGTTAATCACACACGTTACAACACAGAACAGTTTCTGTGGGTTATATCCTGAGCTGTTGAGGAATCACCTGTGAAGTAAAATAACCGCGCCAAGGTATTTTGCTTACTGCAGCTCACATAGCAATCCTATACATTTTACAAAAACACCCAAAAGGGCAGGAGGAAAATCAAGCTAAAACGGGTTTGAAGCAGCCAACAGATTATAGGGTTTCTAATAATTTATATATTTATTTGGGGAATGATTTCTGCTATGCAGGCTATTTTATGTGAAGTGTAGTGTGAATATTAGTGACAGCCTACATTAATACCTGGATGTTCTTTGCCAGTGGACCTCTGAAAAGACAGCAGTGAACTCTAAGTAGTGTCTCCCAATAAAGTTCAGCTGTCTGCTGCAGCTGGAAGGTGCGTGTGTTTTTTAAGTCTCGTGTAGCACGAGTGGGAGGTGGGTCGCTCCGTGTTAACAGGAGACAGTGGTGCTGACTGATTTTTCAGTGGAGAACAAAAAGGAGCAATCCTGGAATTTGTAGAGGCAACTGTAAGAGGGAGCTTTGTTTTGGGCCATCTGTGGTGCAGTGGCTCTCCGTAAATGCTCAGCAGGGTGGGGTGCTTTTGGTATTGCTCTTATTGTCACTATAATCAATTGTCAAAGCAAGACTTTGTATCCATGGTATTGATACCCTCAGGATCGGTCCACCTTCCCCTACCATTAGGTCTGCCTGTAGATACAAGCTCTTGCCTTGAATTAATAGCAATAAAGTTTCTATTTGTTTCATGACAGTGCTACATGTATATATAAGAGAACATGTCTTACAGTTTTGACGGTGGCTTCAAAGCCGTTAGACCAGGCCCACAGCAGCAGCTAATAATCACAGCTGTGAAATGAGGACTTCTGAGGAAAATGTGCAGTATTGTTGGATGTCAGTGTGAGGTTACATGTTGCTAACAAAGAGCATGTACATTCACAGCCAGTCTTTGCTGGATAAACATTAAACAGAAAGCAAAAAAAAACAATATATACAGCTACCTTGTCCTTCTGGTGAAACGTCCATTCCATGCTTGACCTTCATGTGCCTGCTCAGGTTCCCCTTCAGGTTGAACTTACTGGTGCAGTAAGGACACTTAAAAGGCTTACTGCCAGCATGGAGGTGCATGTGGCCCAGCAGATTGTACATTCTATTGAAAGACTTGCCACATACCTGGAAAAAAATAAAGAAAAACAAGCCAAGATAGTCACATTTATGAGCGCAAACATGAACAGAAAAGATACATGTCAGAACAGTTTCTAGTAGGTGGCAGTTAATGAAAACATCCTGCCTCAAACCTCTGGGATTTTCAGTGTAAAAATGTGAAGTTCAGTGAGGAAAAGAAACACTGACATAAAAGTGTAAAAGCCTTGTGAGCTGCTTCCTATCAGCATATTTTGTCATTTGTCCTCTACACACAATCGTGTTACATTCCACTGAACTGAACTTACATCATCACATTTCATTTCACACCAAAATTAATTTGAAACAATCTTATGTCTGCTACTATTACCCAGGATATTTTCTAAAATTAATTTTAAGCACTGGCCTTGCATTTGAATGGCTTGACAGGCAGGTGAACAATCATGTGAGTCTTGAGGGTCTGTTTCTGGATAAAGCTCTTGAAGCAGACGTGACACTGGAAGGGTCTGACGCTGTTATGGATGAGCATGTGCCTCTTCAGGTTGGCAGACAGGGTGAACTCCCGGGAGCACACGTCACACTTGTGTCCTTTCATTCCCTGTGGAGTGCCAAACAGAAGAAAAGGGTACATCATTCAAATACAGCAGTGTGTATTTCATTTTTACCTTTTGACACGTGGATTATTAAAGCTTTGACAGAAGTGGATTATTACATCATTCACAGGCTTTCAAGTTGTGAGAGGGAGTTGCTGGAGACTTGAAGTGAGGGCGCAAAAGGAAAGTGAGGCTAAATACTATGTAATGTGAGAGCAAGAGGTACATGTCGCTGTCCTGATCAACATGATCAGCAGCAGAAATGATAAGACAGAGCTCATGGGGGGGCAGTAAGGTATTTTAAAACTCTTCGTACCCAACTGGCACAAAAATACTATACTACTACCACTACACAAAAAAAAAAAAAAAAAAAAAAACACTTGAGTCATAACTTTGTGAAATCTGAACACAAAGACAATAAACATGTTTAGATTCAGTATGACTTGTATGTTCCAAATATATCATCATCTCCATCATGTCTATTGTGATTAAACATCCGTATATCTACTCAGAAGTAAAAAAAAAAAAAAAAAAAACTACTCCATACAATTTCCAAAGTTGCCTAAGAACATTCACATTTCTTCGTGTTCTTCTGTATCAGAGTAATCCTGTGAAAGCTGACTGTACACACAGGGGTACACTGCAAACAGAAATCACTAATAGCCAATTTGCCAAACATTTAATAGTGCCAGTTTGCCAAAACATAGACAAATATAGGGTCAAAAACAGGGCTCAAGCTGTATGTCACAGCGCAGCTCACTGAATCCATGAACACAAACACTTCCTGTTTATTACCCAAAGCATTATGGGAAGTGAAGTTAGAAATCAAAGATGAACATCCTCCATAAAAATAGTCAAAGAAGATGTTACTCTAATGGACAGATCAGCTTTTCACTTATGTCATGCTAATACAAGGCAAGGCAAACACATTATGATGGCAAAGAAGACACTTCCTAAGATGTCAGTGGCAGTTAACATTTTAACCTAATGATATGTTTCTCATTTCTTTGGCCATATCAATATCCATGGCAGCCATTTTATATGTACCAAAGGAAGATTACTATACTATATATTACAATAGCAAATTGCCTTTCATTTCATCCATACTCTCCTCATATAATATTCTCAACCACATTCAACAGGACATATATAAACACAGAGAAACTGGTCATTCACTGCCTTGAGGTTTATCTGAATAAATATGCTGCTGCACCATACACTCCACTCTGTAGTCAGTGTCAGCAGACAAAAAAAAAAAACTAAACAAAAACAGTGGGGCTGGATAAGTGCATTCTGGGTTATCAGTAAGAATAAATATGCTTCACAGGTCACTAGAGGGTTGAAAGACGGTGTTTGTATGAGCAGACTTTCTGCACAATAAATGTTGCTGTTGTCCACCAGGGGGGGCAGTGAACAGGCCATAGGCCCAAACAAGCCACAAAAGAGAGCATTCTGGCCAATGAGTGCTCATTTTGACAATGAGTGTGGTTTAGGACCTTAGCTCCCCTGAAAATAATCACATTTAAGTAAATCCCTAGGAACTCACCATCTTGTCTCTGTGTGTAATTTCTATTAGAATCTACTTTAGGGGAATTTTATCTGATCTAGATATGAATTTAAAAGTCTGCCAAAAGGTGCCTCATTGCAGAAGGCAGTTTCAGAAATATTGAGGAAAAGATGGTCCTGTGGTGATGGTAAATGAGCAGTGTTCTCTCTTCCTCACCTGTGAATGTGAGTAATTAGGTGCCCGTGTGTAGAACAGGCAGGGGTACCGAGCAATTACAGACAATATAATGAGCAGTGCATGAAGACACCCGGTACTGTGGATGTACAAAATCAAAGCCTTATAAAAATGCACCACAGAACAGAAGCATCTGTTCCACTTCTCATTTCTTTTGCCGTCTGACTCTTTTTAAGATTCTCTAAAAGCAAATGAAAGTTGCACAGTGCAAACTAGGTGGCTTCTTAACTTTTCCAATCTGCAACTTATGTAAAAAAAAAAAGCTGGTAATTAAATCATTTTTAAGTGAAAATGATGTATTACAGTTTTCAGGAGAATTAAAACTTCTGTTGGATCAGTGATGGTTTGTTAACATGAACTAAGGTCGTTCGGAGTTGGACAATAATGTCCCCAGGAGACTCATCGTGGAGTCTGCTCTACTGAATAGTGAATGGGTGATTAACTTTACTCAGGGTGACTGCACGAAAAAATGGGCACATTTCCCACTCAGGACCAGTTAGCACTATGAAAAGAAAAAAAAAAAAACTTGGAGCTGTTGATGTAGCTTTCTTCATTTTTAACTAACATTTAGACTGGGTTCTAATTTGTCATTTTGCTGTTTATACATACATACTTCTATTCTGACCTCAGAATTCCCAAGGAGGTTTTAGTCACAGCAAAAAACTGGCATGAAGACACACAAGTATGCAGGATGGATGCCTGCCACACTAAATGCTCTCACCTGTCTACTTCACCCAGATCTCAGTGGGTAAAGGACAGAAGATGAATTGAGGTGAGGCCTTTGGAACAACAGAGGTGTAGCAGCTTCCCTTTGGGGATCCAACAGTACCTCTTTTTTGTACTTGCTTTTGCTCTCTATCATTTTCTTTGACGTGACAAAAAAAAAGCCCTTATAGTCCAACAATCTGTATACATAGTGTTTACAGTGTGTCTGTAGCTAGAATAGTCAGGAAGCCTGAGTGGGAGCACAAGTGTCCGGTGGTGGTGTCAGTACCTTATGGGTGAGAGAGTGCTGACGCAAATGGTGGAGCTGCATAAACTCCAGGCCGCACTGGGAGCAGGTGTAAGGCCTCGGGCTCTGGTGCTTCAGGAGGTGGTTCTGCAGTTGGCTACGGTAGGCAAATGACTTGTTGCACTCAGTGCACTGGAAGGTGTGGGGGCCCTGGTGGCTGGTCTGGTGCCGTTTGAGGTGGGCGTAAGTGGGGAACTCCATTCCGCATTGCGAGCACACATGGCAGCGACCCCGCTCGTGCTTCACCTCATGCGCTCGTAGCTCGCTGGGATAGGCAAAGCCGCGGCGGCAGAAGCGGCAGCTGTAGGGCTTAACATCAGTGTGTTGGAGCATGTGTCGCTTCAGGTGGCTGGTCTGGGTGAAGCCCTTTTTGCACACGGTGCATTTGTGGGGCCGCGTACCTTGGTGGGTTAGTAGGTGAGTCTGGAGGTGACTGGGCTGCTTGAACAGTTTCCCACAATGTGGACAGGCATGCGGCTTGATGCCATTGTGGCCCAGAATGTGTGTGACCAGGTTGTATTTGGATGTGTAGGATTTTTCACACATGCGGCACTTCCAGCGCTTCAAACCATCTCCAACATCCACGCAGTAAGATTCATCAATCTGGATGTTGATGTCTAGCCGGTCGACTCTGCGGCCGCCGTGCCGCCGAGGAGGCTGTGGGTGCGGCGGCTGCTGGTGCTGCCCTCCTCCACTCCCATCTGTCCACATCATGCTCTGGCTGCCGTCTTCGTACTCACCCCCCATGCTCATTTCCCCTGAATCATAACTGCCCACTTCACTAGTCTGAAAGTAGCTGCTGATGGCTTCCTCCTGTTGTGTGGGCTTCATCATGTTATTCCCCTGGTGTTCTACCTCTTCTTCATCCTCTCGGCCGACTCGACCGTGGCCCCCCATAGGGCGCTGGGCCTGCAATCCTCTGTGGCCCTGCTCCCCTCCTCTGTGGCCCACCTGGTTGGGTGGAGGGTGACCATGCGTGTTGGCTTGCTGCTGGTTAGTTGCTTCCCGCTCACACTCTGCACAGTTCTTGTTGGGACCTCTGAGGGTGGCCGGGTCTACTTGTACTAAACCACCTCTAGGAGCCATATTGTTAAGCATGTGAACACAGGAGGACATGCCAGAGTTCACCGCTTCCCCTTTTACATGGGACGAGGATACATCACTGCCTTGTAGGCTGTGACGATCTGGGCCGACCATTTTCCCATCCGGGTGCTGAGGAGGCCCCTGCTGCCACCTCCTCTGACTGCAGCTGGGTTGCATCTGACCGTCTTCTCCCAAGTTGTCTCCTAGGTAATCTCCGTTGGCTCCGATAAGCTGGTCTGCGTACTCGTAGTCGACGCCGTCTACTGGGGGCGCTGGGGACTCTTTGGGTTCACCAGTGTAGAAGCCATTAGGTGCAATGGTAGCTCCGAACACTTCATTCTGGGAGATAAGACCTAGCACGGCAGCCTGGGCCAAGGACAGCACAACTACTGGATCTGTTTGTGTGCCTATGTCCACCAGCCTGGCCATTACCTTGGGCTCACATCTACCCAGGCGCCGGCTCGCCTCCTCCTGGAACAGAAAGACACACACATGCACAGACAATCCAGACTTCAACACAGCAATCAAGCAATTAATAAGTACATATGTGACTATAAAGATCTAGCCAGCAAACTGACTCATTTTATTGTGAGGGGAAAAATTTTAATCGGTGAGTTTTCTCTGTCATCATCAAGTTTTGCTGTTTCAGCCGGTTTCTAGGAAAAGCTAAGAAAACAAGTGGTCATCAATCTAAACTGATGGCAAGAATATCCTGATACAGTAGTTCTTTTTCAACAGCTGGACTACACTGTGTGCACTGAACGACACATTACCACACTGTCCTTCAAAGAGAATGTGTCCTTCATGAAAGTGATTCAATAAGGACAAAAAGGTGCCGAAGCTCAATCGGTCCAGTCAGTGTTTCTTTTAAGCCGACTGTCAAGAGACTGAAGAAACAAGACGAAAGAAACTGATTTTGATTTTAAAGAGCCATTCATTACATCATGAGGTGGGATACAGAAAACATTTCTACTACAGAGACCAACCTCTGGATCTACTGACAGACACAGGAACTATTAAAGACATCGTCCTAATCCAGCTCACTAACCATGTATGGCTTGTGTGTGTGGAGGGGGATTAGATGGCCTACTGATCTACACACAAACATACACATTCAAGCAAAAGAGGGGAAAGAAAGAGAAACAGAGCAAGATTAAGAAATAATAAAGGGGGGGGGGGAGATAAACAGGAGAGCAGAGGAAGAATGGGGAGAGGTAGTAGCTGAGACAGAGAGAAGAAGGGAGAGAGAAAGAGATCTTAGAACAGGCAAAAAGAAAATGAAAGGTAGAGGATGAGAGATAAGGAGAGGAGGGGGATGGGAGGGGAGGGAGAAGGCTGAGAGAGAGAAAATGACACTGGAAAGGGAGGAAAGGAGGGGAAGAGTGAGAGGGTGAGTGTGAGGCAGCAGGCAAATGAGAGCAAGAGGAAGAAAGAGAAAGAAAGATATGTAGAGACACAGGGAAGGAGGGAGGGAGAGGCAGTGAGCAACCAGGAGACAGAGGGAGAAAGAAAATGACAAAATGAAAGCCAGACAGAGTGAAAGACAAAAACTGTAGTGATACAGAAGAGTTGAAAAAAAGCTCAAAAGAAGACAGACAATGAGATGCTGCAGGAGAGAATTCTTGAAAGTAAGAAGAAATCCACTGAAGGCAAGTTTAATAACAAAGAGATTGAATAAAGAATCAAAGCATCTCTACCTGACTCTCATCTTCAGTGTGATCAACCCATGTTGCCCGCCACCTCAGAAAACTACCACTTAACATGCTACGAGAGAGAGCCAGTGAACTCACCACGCTCCTCCTGCTGTGAGGTTTCAGGTGCTTTAAGGATCTCATTCTTCAGTGCGAGTGTAGAGTGAGAACAGGCTACGCTCGCCTCCTATATGTACGTGAGGGATGAGGGGAGGCGGGGCCAACAATGCCCACCCCCTCCCCTCTCCTCCCACACGACCCCTCTTCTTCTTCTTCTTCAGCACAGTTTCTGTTGTGACTTTGGTCACAAACACAGAGCAGACAAACAAATATTCTTCGCGTAAAGGAGAATGTGGCCGGTCGGTTTAATATCAAACACGCAGCTCACACCTTGCTGATGCACTGGGGTCCTTGGTAGTCTGGTGATAAATGGGCTAAGTCACAAGATCCACACACGCAAACAATAAAAATCAAATCAACGTCATGTCAGCCAGAAATTATAGATCCACCAGGCTGCCTCCTGCTTCACTCACAAGCATTTCCTCCATCTCCGTCTGTCATTCTTTTGTCCTTGTTTCTGCCTATCCCTGTCTGTCTCGCTTCCTTTATCTGTCTGCTCCTGTGGCTCCATCTATTGCAGAATACTTTCCTGTGTTTCATCCATGTATCTCTCTCTAGGCGCCTTTGTATCTTTCACTCTCTCATTTATCAAGAAAGGTTTATGAGTAGGGAAAAGTGTTGGAAGATACACACACTCAGATGCAAGCACGTGATAGGAGAGGGGAAGAAGAGGGGAGAAAGAGATCGAAGGTGACTGACAAGGAGATGAGCAAATGAAAGAGAGAGAGAAGATGGAGAGAGGGAGGAAAGGAGTGGAAAGAAAGAATACTAAAGGAAAAGAGGGGAGGGGGTAGAAGGGAGAAAGAGAAAAACAGAGGGGGATGGGGAGAGCAGAGCAGAAACTGGTAAAAGAATAAGAATAAATGCAAAATGGGTGAAAGAGTAAAGAGAATATTGGTGTTGTACTACTCATAATGATGCTTCAGACAGTTCCATGACTCCCTCTCTCCTGGCCTCGGTCTCTCTCTCTCTCTCTCACACACACACACACACACACACACACACACACACACACACAGCCGACTGACAGGAAGGAAACATCGAGGTTCAACTGTGAAGAACTTTCATCTTTCTTCACGTCTTGTGACCAGAATACCGCCAATGAAATTAGGTATCAGCGGAGAGATGGGATAGCCATGGAGTCGAGATGGTGCCAACGGTGGCCTGCAAGTTCACAAAGGTCGAGCATACCTGTGATGAAACTGAGCTGACCAAAAGCTGCAAATTAGCAAACTACAAACTATGATGGAAACGAGCAAATGGGAACCAAATGAGCAAGTGACACTCCCAATACATAAAAGTAAACACACAACATAGAAGACTAAGAAAACAAGCAAATACTCTGTTTTGCAGCTTGAACCTGTGAGTTTTTGGTATTTTGCTTGAAACATGGGATTAATGATTCATTATGATAATTCCTGGTTATTAATTTGACAATCAACCAACTGATTACTGGACTAAGAAAGAACCAAACACTCGTTTCTTTGTTGTAATTACCACGATGTGAGTGTGGACTGCTCATTGTAACCAGCTTTGGGGAGTAACTAGTTCCATGTAGGTGTTATAGTTAAATTACATGCAATTGTACTCCAGTACAGTTACTGAGAAACATAATTAAATTACAGTTTCTAATGAAAATGTTGGTGATTATAAAGGGGTTACATCCCAGTATTCTTTTAGGCAAAAAGCTTCTATCTGGAATAAAACATTCCATCTTTTCACCAGGCAGGAAAACCTTCTTTTGACACATTTGTGAATAACGTGGGTCAGCAAAGCAATGGGGACAAGTCAAAGTGCCACACCACCACAGTCAGGACGTCTTTGAGGAAGCCGTTTGTGTCTAGACAGGCTCCATTCAGATGGCAGTATGCACTCAGATTGGTTCCCTTGTTTGACTTTGCACGGCCTCTCTCCGATCAAATCGCTCTAAGCAAACTGAAGAAACATCTCTAAGTTAATGTAATCACAATCACTCGCATAAAATGACATTTATACACCACCTGGTTTTAGTGAATGTTTAGGACTCTCAGCTTTATTGCCCAGTTTGAATCATTTGTTGAAAGGGTAGCAATCTGTAGCCTATTGTTCCCAGTACTGGTTGAAATGATAGTGGTGTGAGCCGATACATAGCATGCTGAAAGTGTGTGCTCTCTACTTGTTGTATAACCACAACAATAATTTCCACCAAGTTCTCATCTTTCAGAACACAGCTGCAGCGGTATCAGTCCACGTACTGCTTACTATGGGCTAACCACATACTGCTGTCGTCATAGCTCTGCCCCTTATAAAGCCAGAGCTGTTACACATGGGTGTCATGAGAGAGAAATACAGTTAAATACTGTATTTATTAAAGAACAATCATTTCAATTTCAACAGAGGAAAAGACAACAATCAATAAAGCAAGGATCAAAATCCTACAAGAAACGGTGAGACAAATGGACGAGAGGAGCTTCTAGTATATAAAGTATGGATTCACAACTGTAGGAACAGAAAGTAAACTCCAAATGTATCATGTATAACTAGAAAAACTATAGGTTTGATTCACAAAAAAAACTTTAATAGGGTTTCAATCGAATAAAGGTAGTGCCGTCTGTCTCGCTTCCTTTATCTGCTCCTGTGGCTCCATCTATTGCAAAGTACTTTCCTGTGTCTGTAAAATTTAAATCAGAGTATAGTTTGATTTTAACACCATTATGGGTTAAGACATCCTATAATGGGACAAAGCACACAAATTAAAAATGAAAACTCCACTTATTTTAATAAGTTTCATTTGCATAGTTCACCTTTAGGCTTCTACACTAAACTGCCAGAGTAACTTCATGTAAGATAAACTTTTATTTATAGCTGTAAAAAGTTCTTATGTTCTTGGACTGGATATTATTCTGCCACGATAAGAGACTACAGGAGGGCTGCATGTCAGCAATGCGGCGTTTGCAAAAAAAAGCCAAATTTATAAAGTCAGCATCTGATGCAAAACACACAAGGGCCACTGCAAACCTCTTTTCTAGCTCAGTGACCAAGAACAAACGTTTTTTTTGTGTGGTTTAGCAGCAGCCAGTTTCATGTGGGAGCAGTAAGTGAAATCTGACCAAATGTGGCCACTTGAAATACTTCCTGATGCCAGGCGTAAACTCCAGTTTGTCTCAAATGGATGCAGACGTGTGGTGGATATATCCACACAAAACAACGAGACAGACAGAGCCCGATCTGGTTCACACAGCTCTGGACATTTTTAAGACAGAAATGTACTGAAAGCTATCAAAAGTTGGGAGCCAACGTTTGATCACATTTTATTTGATACATAATTTTTACAGTTTCAGAGCAGACATCTCTCGTACAGCTGTTTGCATTAAGATAACACTCAACAACAGGGAACTGTGGCTTCTTCTTGATATTGAAAACACTTTGGTGGCGGTACTGTGAACCAAACTTGGCTCTTTAAGCGTTGAATTCAGAGAGAAAAGACAAAGAAATAAAAGTGACCTGATTTAAGCTGCAGACTGTGAAATCAGTTTTCTTAGAAGCATTATCTTTAGCTCCTGCCTGCCGTTACCAGTGCATGCAACACCATGACTGAATGTTTGTTGCCAAAATGCACCTTGGGAGTCAGAGTCAATGCCTCGCCTCATGTTCTTATGTACACTGGCAGAACCAGGTACC